AGTGAGAGAAAGAGAGAGAGACAGAGAAAGGTCTTCCTTCTGTTGGTTCACCCTCGAAATGGCCGCCATGGCCAGTGCACTGCGCCGATCTGAAGCCAGAAGCCAGGTGCCTCCTCGTGGTCTCCCATGCAGGTGCAGGGCCCAAGCACTTGGGCCATCCCTCACTGCCTTCCCAGGCCACAGCAGACAGCACAGACTTCTAATGTTCTTCCTTAGAGGCCACAGTGGTACTCTTTCTCTCCAGCAATGAATTTCCAGTATATATGTTGAATGACTCTGCCTAGGAACACTGTTTAAGCTCGGGGACTGAGAGCTTCATGGGGGTGATGGGTTTTTGTCACAGAGGAATCTTATTATGCAACCATTGCTATACAACCACCATGGCACTATAATAGCACCCCAACAATAAAACCAGGTGCACACCATCAATTGTAGTGTTTGTGCAAAACATCTTGACAAGCCAGCCTAGCATAGTCCAGTCATCAAGGAATATATAACAAAGTCATCCATCATCAACAAAGAACACTTGCAGGTTCTTTGGAGATACACAAGGAATAAGCAATCAGATCTGCTGCCTCAACCCTTTTCTCACAAGTCATGTAGGTAATACAAATATCCCCTTCATACGAGTTGTGGTTCTAAACAGTGCTCACTGAAGAGCATGACTGGCGCCCTATGTCAACACACTTCCTACTGTTCCTTTGATGCCTAGACCTTGAGACAGCCCTCCTGTGGGGAAATCTGGGGCTGTGGAAGAGCAATTTAACTTCCCGGGTAAAAAAGACATTGCTGCTTCATACAAATGTCAAGACTCAAAAATGAGAAAGGGGGTAATAGCTTCCCAGATCTATATATAAGGCAGATCTTGGACTCTCGTCCGAGCACTCTCTTCTAGAACAGTGAGGGGTCAACATGCCTGTCTATTGAGTAGAGTATCCACCAAAAGAGAGAAGATAGGAGAGGGGTAAGCTCATTGCTGCATCTAGGTTTATGGATAATTCACCTCTGACGTGGGGGGAATTAAGAAGAGAAACAGGCTATTTCCCTAACACTGAGCATGTGAGCAGATTTTCCAATGGAAACATGAGAACAGAAAGATATGCCATTGAAGAGAGTGGACCCCAAAACCACGTTTATCCCTGAGAACAAAGTTCCATACCATATTTCCAGTGATAAGTGCATACCCTTTTCCCTTCAAGGGGAAACCATGTTGACCTGAGTACCTCTACACTTCCAGGTGTTGAGAATAAGAATAAGAGCTGGTAAACTACAAACCAAGGGCCATATATGACCTCTACCTGTTTTGTAGGTAAAAATTTCCCTGGAGCACAGCCATGCCCTTTGGTTCCACAAAATCTGAGGCTGCTTTGGCATAAGAGCAAATTTGAGCAGCTGCAAAGGCTAACCTAGGTATTATCTGACTCTTCACGACAAAATATTGTCTGTTCCAACACAGGAAAAAAAATATCTTTGTTCTCATCCAAGTCACCAATGTTCAAAGAATCAAAGATGCTAGTTTCATATCAGCTACAAGAAAACAAAATCAAATTAGTGTTTTACTGGTATCTCACTATTAGAACAAGTTGAGAAGGCCAGTAGAGCTAAGGAAAACAATTAACAGATTGATTTCCGTGAATTTGAGTGCATATCAATTCAAGCTGTCTTCTTGTTTTGATTTTAGTTCAACTCCATTAGCCTTAATTGATCTCCTTGCATTTGCAAGGTCTGTCCTGGGTGTTTTGAAAGTCAAATGGAAAAGCTTGAATACCCATCACAAACATGACATAGATGATTCCAGGGAAGAAATGCATGGGGTGTGGTCAGAGAAAGGAGCCAAGGAAGGATCAGTCAGTAGTTAGCATTGCCCACCTCCCAACAGAAGGCAGAGATACTTTGAAAACTTCTCTCTTGGACATATCATTTCCATCTTATTCATATAATTTAATGCCTTAATAAATCTTTCTTTTAAAAGAAAAATCATATAATATAAATTGCAAAACTTGTCTGTACATAGATTTCTACATCTATCCCCCAAACATGTCATTCATTGGTTGGTTGGGGTTTTTTGTTTGCTGATATCATTGATGTGGTTGCTTCAGGGTTTGTTGTTGTTGCCATAGATGTTTTGAACTTAGTATAGATGTCAGAAAAATTGATGAGCTCAACTTGATCATACAGCTGCTCCAAATGTAATTCCAGTATTCACTCAACCAAAATCGTACATCAACTGACCAAGAGACTTTATTAAGATTGTCTTATGAGTGCATCATTAGTCAGATTCTGAAGTCCATTTGTTAGGAGGGAGCCACTTTCTCCAACCCCTTTGCATTTTCCCAGCACCAGTAATGGACTTTATGTGGGTGACAGAATGTCTTTGGCATCGAAGCAAAAACAATAAAAGAAAACTACCTCTGGTTGAAACTGGGTGATGGGTAAATGGTGGTGTGTGTGGGGGGGGGGGGGTTCAGTTTCTTATTCTCTTTTTAAGTTTGAAAACATCCATAGCAAAGGTTCTTTTAAAAATCCTGTGGAGGGACTGAGGATTTAGCATAGTGCTTACGATGCCATTTGGGATGCCTACATCCCACGTTAGAGTGCCTGAGTTGGTGTGCAGACTTTGCTCTCCTTTACATTTTCTTGCTGATACCACACCCCGGAGGCAGTAGCTGGTGACTCAAGTACTTGGGTCCCTGCCACCCATGGGGGAGACCCAAAATGAGTTCTGGGGTCCTGGTTTCACCCTGGCCTGGCCCTAGCTGTTTCAGGTATCTGGGGAGTCAACCAACAGATGGAAGATCTCTCTCTTCACCTCTCTCTCTCTCTCTGCATTTAAAATAAATAAAATGAATAAATTTTAAAAATCTAGAAATATGTTAAAATTAAAATATTTTAAAAAAGACTTTCTTGGCCGGCACCTCGGCTCACTAGGCTAATCCTCCGCCTTGTGGCGCCGGCACACCGGGTTCTAGTCCCGGTCAGGGCGCCGGATTCTGTCCCGGTTGCCCCTCTTCCAGGCCAGCTCTCTGCTGTGGCCCGGGAGTGCAGTGGAGGATGGCCCAAGTGCTTGGGCCCTGCACCCGCATGGGAGACCAGGAGAAGCACCTGGTTCCTGCCATCAGATCAGCACGGTGCACCGGCCGCAGTGCGCCGGCCGTGGCGGCCATTGGAGGGTGAACCAACAGCAAAGGAAGACCTTTCTCTCTGTCTCTCTGTCTCTCTGTCTCTCTCTCTCACTGTCCACTCTGCCTGTCAAAAAAAAAAAAAAAAAAAAAAAAACTTTATACATGGATAGCCAAAGAAAGTTGTTGTGAAATATGCTTCTGTTAATAAGTTGCTGCTTATTTATTAGCTCTGTTCATTAAAACTCCTGAGTACGAGGCTCAAGGCTAGATAGAGAGAAAAAGAAGAAACATTGGTCTTAAGCAAACTGGGCCAAGAAAGATAAGACAGGGAAAATCATATCACTGAAACTTACACTGCCCAGATGCTGGGACTTGGATTTAATCAGCTTAGTGCATCTCAGGCCTAAAACCATCAATATGGCACATATTCTGTCTATGGCTCTGGGTTAGATACTCAAAATATGGAGGAAAAAATCGTTGATCTCCTGAGAAGACAGATGACAAAATCACTTACTTAAAAGTGGATTGTGGGGCCGGTACTGTGGCACAGCGGGTTAAAGCCCTGGCTTGAAGCTCCAGCATCCCATACGGGCAACAGTTCTAGTCCCAGCTGCTTCTCTTCCCATCCAGCTCTCTGATGTGGCCTGGGAAAGCAGTAGAAGATGCCCCAAGTCCTTGGGCCCCTGCACCCATGTGGGAGACCTGGAAGAAGCTCCTGGCTCCTGGCTTCAGATTGGTGCAGCTCCGGCCATTGCAGCCATCTGGGGAGTGAACCAGCAGATGGAAGACCTCTCTCTCTCTCTGTCTCTACCTCTCTCTGTAACCCTGTCTTTCAAATAAATAAAATAAATCTTAAAAAAAAAATAAAGAGTGGCTTGTAAAGATTGCTGTTGGATCACAGAGAAAGATTCAAGGCAGGTTACATGAGTTCAGGTGACGCCATCACAAAAGATGGTTAAAATTAACAAGCAGAAAAAGATGGGAAGAAGCATGGGTATGGGTCAGAAATTATTTGAATAATTAGATTATAATATAAAATTATCAATGGAATATGAACTCAGTGAGGGTGTTTTGTCTGTTTTGTTCAGAGTAAGTTTGGTTCATGGTAGGCATTCATTAATTGGAATGATATCTAAGTCTAACCATTAAATCCTTTTATGGTTCATGTATATCTTATATGCATAGCCTGAAGGGAATTTTTTGCAATATTTTAATAGATTTGCACAGGAAACAAAGTTTATGTTCCTCATAACTTAGTGGTGTGAGCCATAGACTCGTGGTGTCACACTGGTGCTCAAAAGTTTTAATTTTGAAGATTCAGGATTTTAGATTTTTAGATGAGGGATGTTCAACCTTGCATTTAAAGTAGACAAATGAATCCCTCTGTAAATTGTTGTTGGAGTTCACCATCTATGGGAGAGGGAGCAACAGTGAGGCCGACAGGATAAAATCAAGGAGACCTGCAGGAAGCTTAGATTTTATGAGGATGGGGAAAACATTGAGGACATTTACAAGGAAGAATGCAATGACTGGACTTGTGGTTTTGAGCTTCAAGAAAGAGCAGTGGCTTACAGGGAACAAGAGAGACAAGAGAGACAGAGAGACAAGTTATAGCTTTTGCTGACCAAGGTAAAAGCCACTGCATTATGTAGTAAAAAAATTCATTTTTTTAAGATTTATTCATTTATTTGAAAGGTAGAGTTACAGAGAGAGGGAGAGACACAGACAGAGAGATCTTTCATCTGCTGGTTCACTCCTCAAATGACCGCAATAGCTAGGGCTGGGCCAGGCTCAAGCCTAGAACCAGAAGTTTCTTCCGGGTCTCCCAGGTGGGTGCAGATGCCCAAGGACTTGGGCCATCTTCTGCTGTTTTCCCAGGTACATTAGCAGAGTGCTGGATCAGAAAAGGAGCAACTAGGACACAAACCAGAGCCCATATGGAATGCTGGCATTGCAGGCGGGACATGAACTAGCACCCATATGGGATGCTAGAGTTGCAAGTAGTGGCTTAACCAGCTTCGCCACAATGCTGGCCCCCAGCAAAACTGAATGACCCCTGAAGCCAACAGAGTAACATCCCCACAAAGATATGGACAAGAATCTTCCAGGAAGTGCTATTTGCTGTAGTCAAAGGGGATAAACTGTATTATATTGATACTATGGAAATCTAAAAACACACTGAAAAGGAATGTACCACTGCTACACAGGTAAATCTCATAAGTATCATGTAAGTGAAAGAATACCTAAACACTGTAGATTCTATTTATAGAAGTTCAAAAACAAGCAGAACTAGTTTAGTGTGAAAAATTCTGAATAGTGGTTGTCTTTGAGCCTAGGAAGGGTAGCCTGGCAACTGGTACCACCCATATCTTGATTTGGGAGTGATGAAACAGTTTATTCTCATTGTAACAAGTCTCCAAACTGAATCTTTACAATTTCCGGGATTTTCTGAATGTGAATGAATTTTTTTTAATGTGGTTTCAGTTTCCTGGCTTGGACAATCAGGATAACACTCTGTGTCTATAGCCAAGGCTCTTATTGCACTTGTGGCTTTTGGCTGTCCTTGGTGGCTGCCAGACGGCACACACAAGCATATCATAAACCCATGGCCATAGAAATCACCCCTCCCTGGAGATCCCCATCCCTCCTATCTCTGATGTTCTTTGCACCTGTGCCATTCCTCCATGAGGGAAAATTTCCTCCAAGCAGAGAAGTCAATGACCAGAGACCTCCTCCTACAATTTGACTCTATGCTTCTCTTTAGCTATGGAGGATGGGCTAAGATAACAGAATTAATCAGATCCACGAAGATTATTGCCATAAGGACAACAAGGACCACTTGGGGGTCCAGACGAGCATCTAGATTTACCTGGTGGTGATCATGAGATGCAGGTGCACCCTGGGAGTTTCTCATCCCTGCATTGCCAGTGCCTTTTTCCGCTCACATTGTCTTGCCTGCTCCTTGACGTGTATCAGACTGCTCTTGAAACAGAGGAGTAGGGGTAGGGACTGAGAGGAATCTTGGACAGAAGGTGCATGAGAAGAGGAGGTGGGAGCCACTGTTCTACCTAGCAAAGCCCACGTTTTCAGTCCCATGGGGAAGACTGAGACTCAGGTGGAACCCCAAACCTCGCACACCCTGCATTCCACCCAAGCATCGGGTAGAGACAAAGGACAAGTTTCCTGTAAGACCAGCCAGGACTGCCGAAGAAGTCCTGCTACTCCCAAGTGAAAAGAGTTTAAATACACACACACACACACACACACACCTCTGCCCCATCCTGCAGGCTCTGGGAGCACCCTAAGGCCTCCTTTGCCTCACCTTGGTCCCTGGCTCACTGGTAATGAGTTCCACTTTCTGGCCACTTTGCTAAGCTTAGCATCCTTTTTCTGCTCCCTGCCAAATCTCCTCATTCATACATCCAAGCCTGCCTGTGTTTTCTGCCGTGAGTTCTCATCCTGATACGTCCTCTGGCCTCAGATTTCCCCGAAGAGTGTAAAACTCCTTTCTTGTCCCTGCGCTACCAACCCAGCTGTTTCCTGACTTTCAGAAAGAGAAACTTTCCCAGGTGCCTTCTAACACCTTCCTCCCCCGGCCCGGCTAAAGCCAAGAGAACTGTTTCTAGGGGAAATGTTACAAACCAGGCAACTCAGATAAAGCGTGAAATTCTGCACCCGTGCTTAGGTAAACATATTCTCAAGATTCAAAAGAATAATTTGCTGTTATGGAAGTGGACCCATGCGCAACCTGGTAAGTGAAATGGCACCAGAGGGAATCACGAGTCCGGGGTGTTCTTGCAGGGAAGAAGTAGCAGGACAGCACGCAGGGAGAGTATGGCTGCCTGGGAGAGCAGAATCATTACTTGCGGGGACATCTGCTTCTCTCTGGCACATTGAGCACAAGTCTCAAGTCTAGTTAGTTCTAGACTTTTCCAACCCCTGCCCCAAAGTTCTACCACTATCCTGACTGCTGAAACTCAAGTCTTCACCCAGCCTCAGTTTACCCATTCTCTTTCTTCTCACCAACCACCTAATACCATTAGCACTGAAATCGCAATGGGTAGTAGGGGTGCAGCAGAAAGGATCCATTGAGAGAAGCACCAATATTTCGTATACTACTAGAAAGAATTGCAAGTAAAATATAACACACCATTTGTCGTAAGCTGAAAACTGATTCAAAGATGTGAACACTTAGAAAGAAAATGTGCTTCTTAGGATCAATTAATTATACAACTGTTACCTAGGCAGAAGCCAGGAAGTGGAAAGTCACAAGGTCATCGGATCTCCTTATCTTCCTTCTCTTCTATCCGACCAGGCAGAGTGGACAGTGAGAGAGAGAGACAGAGAGACAGAGAGACAGAGAGAAAGGTCTTCCTTTGCTGTTGGTTCACCCTCCAATGGCCGCCACGGCCGGCGCACTGCGGCCGGTGCACCGTGCTGATCTGATGGCAGGAACCAGGTGCTTCTCCTGGTCTCCCATGCGGGTGCAGGGCCCAAGCACTTGGGCCATCCTCCACTGCACTCCTGGGCCACAGCAGAGAGCTGGCCTGGAAGAGGGGCAACCGGGACAGAATCTGGCGCCCCGACTGGGACTAGAACCCGGTGTGCTGGCGCCACTAGGTGGAGGATTAGCCTGTTGAGCCACGGCGCCGGCCTGCATTTCACATCATATATATGAATTAACAAGTCCTTAGTACCAACGTATGAAAGCTTTGAGTTGTTTCAATAATTGAGTTTATTTCCAGCCCCATTATAAGTTTTAGATCTTAGACTACAGGAATATTTTGGAGAATAATAGAGACTTGGTAAAGCATTAGCATAAACTATTTGAAAGGGCAATAAATAGTAAAGTGTCATGAATTAAATATGTTTAATGTGTATTTATATTCGAAGTGTCTTACAGATGACAGAAATGAGGAGTAGTTTTACACTCGGGAAAAAAAACTACTCAAAATCTCAATGTCTTGGCAATACTTGAAACCAATAAATGTTTCACCTTTGTGTATTTGTGAACAGATTTTTGAATTTTGTGGAGCTGATGCTAAAAAATTGGCCACGAAGATTCAAGAACTAATGTAAGCTAATCTTTGAAACAAAGTACATTTGTGACATGTTAAAAGACAACACCCAATGTGTTATGTTTTTATTTCTAGCAAACACTGTAGCATTCTCTCTGAAAGCTTTAGAGTGGAGTCCCATATTGTAATCTCATGACAAAGTCGCTTAAACCTGCTGTTCCATCAGAGGTTGTGGCATTTCCATTCTCTGACTCTTCCACTTGCCCTGAGCACATTCAAGGTTTGTACAAGATCGTTATGACCTTCACAACAGAGTCCCTTCACAGCTAATTCCAGGGCAAAAAGCTTCTCCAGAGACTGCCAAAGATGCAGTTGTTTACAGTGATCAGTGACTAAATAAATGACTTGCTACCCTAGTGTCCCCGTAATGTGAGCATAATTCCAAATGTTCATGGAAAATGGAATCAAAAGATAAGTTTTAGTACCAAAACAATTTGAAAGCCATGCACAGTTTTTTCATAATCTCTATTTTCCATGGACTTTCTGAGGTCCCCTTGTGAATGGTGAGCTGTCGTCTGTGGTACTGCAAGATCTTCTCCCATGTATCATGTATCTTCTCCCATGTGTCATCTTACGCTTGAACTGTGTCATTTTCCTCCCCTACTACCCTTCAAAAATTCTCCTATAAATGTAAAAGAAACCCCAAGAACAACAACCATAGTCATTTTTCTACTATGATTTTTTTGAAGATTGATTTGATTTATTTGAAAGTCGGGGGAAGGAGGGAGGGAGGGAGGGAGGGAGGGAGGGAGGGAGGGAGAGAGATCTTCCATGTACTGGTTCACTCCCCCAAATAGCTGCATCAACCAGAGCTGGGCCAGGCTGAAGCCAGGAGCCAGGAGCTTCCTCCAGGTCTCCCACATGGGTGGCAGGGGCCCAAGGACTTGGGCCATCTTCCACTGCCTTCCCAGGCATATTGGCAAGGAATTGGATTGGAAGTGGAGCAGCTGGAACTCAAACCAGTGCCCATATGGGCTGCCAGCGCTGCAAATCATGGCTTAACCCACCACGATGGTGGCTTAACACTGACCTCATACCCCATCATTTGCACCATACTCTATCTGGCTCATCTCTTACACTCACAGCACCCCTAAAAGGTTCTTAAACTTGCCGATTTATAGATGAGTTAAAAGATTCAGAGGTTGACATGTCCAAGACCACTAAAAATGTAGAAGAAACAAAATTCACATCCAAATCCATTTATCGCTAAGGCTTGGAGAGGCCATTTTTGAACCTCCACAAGGAATATCGCAGCTCTGCATGCAGAGTCCCTTCCTCCGCCCCTAAGCCCACAGTCTGCTTCCCTGAAGCGTCGTGCCTGCCCCTCCACTCACTGAAGCAAGCCCAGTGGCTTCCCTAAGAGGCCCCTGCGCAGGGAGACTCAGGCTGACTTCAGTCTGGCCCAGCCCTGGCTGTTACAGGTATTGGGGAATGAATTTGTATATGGAAGTCTCTCTCTCTCTCTCACTCTCTCTCTCTTTCTCTCTCTCATTCTGCCTTTGAAATAAATAATCTTTTCAGAAAAGAGAAACATATGCATCCAGATTCACTGAATCATTTTGTTCCAATGAAGCCCTCTCATTTCCAGCAAACACGCCTGTAACGTGCCAAGAAAGTTCTGGTTGACTGTCCACACTTAGTCACCCAGAACTACAAATTTCAGTGTAACTATAAAAGCCTCCTTGCCTGGGGCCGGTGCTGTTAAGCCTCCACCTGCAGTGCTGGCATCCTGTATGGACACCGGTTCACGTCCCAGTTGCTCCTCTTCTGATCCAGCTCTCTGCCTTTGGCCTGGCAAAGCAGTGGAGGATGGCCCAAGTGCTTGGACCCCTGCTCCCACATGAGAGACCCAGAAGAAGCTCCTGGCTCCTGGCTTCGGAACGGCTCAGCTCCAGCTGCTCTGGCCACTTGGGGAGTGAACCAGCAGATGGTAGGTTTCTCTCTCTGTAGCTCTACCTCTCAAATAAATAAATAAAATTGTCTTTTTTTTAAAAAAAAAATCTTCCTTCCCATCATTTCTATGGGGCCGTCAAAGGTAGTTCTGGAAAAAGTGTGAGAAGGCCAGGACTAAGTTGAGCCCTTCCTCACAGTTTCCATAGCGTCTCACCCTTCTTTCCTTTTCCACCCTCCCCTCCCCCAACTTCTTCCATCTCCAAGCCTTTCTTGGTCTCATCTAATTCTCTATCACTCACTTATCCAAAGTTATGAATGGAGAGGTAATTTTGTGCTAGCATTAGGCCCTTCCTGGGATGCATAGAGCATGAATGCTACCTTTGACGTACTCACACTTCAGCAGGGGAAAGAGCCATGGACAAACAAAGCTGGAGGATTGACAGCGAGAGATGCTCTAATCACTCATTATTCAAGGAAAAGCAATATAGAAAACAGGTGGGGGAGAATGATTCACTGGGGGGAGGCGGAGCAGACCGTAAGCAGAGCTGAGTCTCAGTGAATTCCTGGAAGTGCTGGCAACTGGGCTGGGTTTGGAAGATAAGGAATCAGCTACAGGAGAGAAGGCTAAAACAACACCAGCAACGCACACTGCTATGAAAATGCAGTTGGGGGTGCTTAGTAGCAGAGTTTGCGATGACCGGAAGTTGGGGGGAAATGGAGAGAAGTCAGTGATCTTATCAAAGTCTTTCCCCTCTGGTAATATTTGTTTTCACAAGAGCCAAATTCAATGAGATGGCGTTCAGGGTCAGAGAGGCGGCTTGACTGGGCGGTAGGAGGCTTGAGTTCTCACAGCGGTCCCTCCGCGGCTCGCTGCACTTGATCGCTCTGTGCTTAGGTGAAGAAGGTGAAGGGCTCTCGAGGGCTGGGGCTCAAGCTCGGAGTGGGGGGGCTCTCTGCAGCGGTGGCAGCGCATACACAGCCCCACACTTCACAGAAACACACACCCTGTGTCCCCTGTGAGGCCCCCAGTGTGGACGGGGAGAAAGTTCAGCGCAGGAGTCGGACCCCAGTCCCGAGAGAGGAGCCTGGGTGTGGAGTGATGGTCTCATCAGAGTCAGCCCCCCTCAACCTGAGGCCGGGCCTTCCTGACACATTCAAGGGCAAAGTTTTGCACCAGGCATTAGCAAACACGCTGGGCTAGGCTGAGTTCCTTTAGAAATTGTGAACAAAGTTGCATAAAATGAATGCTCCACTCGGCCCTCTGTACCCACGGGTTCTGCATCTACAGATTCAGCCAACTGTAGAGTGAAAACATTTTCTATTGCAATTGTATTGAACATGTACACACTTTTTCTTGTCATAATTCCCTTTATAATACAGTACAACAACCATCCACATAGCATCTATGCCATGTTAGGTGTGTTGTATAAGCAACCTAGAGATGAATTACAGTAGATGGGCAGAAGTGTGTAAGATCTGTGCTATTTCATATAAAGAAATTGAGCCTCCATGGATTTTGGTATCCTCAGGAGAAGGGCGAGGGCCTAGAATGAAACTCTCATGAATACTGAGA